TGAAAGCTGGTTACACTGATCTCACTCATCCTGGAGAGAGGAAGAGAGAGAGAGAGAGAGAGAGAGAGAGAGAGAGAGAGAGAGAGAGAGAGAGAGAGTCATTCAATTCAAAGCTCCCAGGAAATTATACGTCTGTAACGTACCGTGCTGCCATGAGAAAGCCTTAGGAACCCAAGGCTAATGGGGAGCCGTGGTACAGCGACGCTTCAATTTCACATTAAAGAAATTCCGTCTTTCCGAAAAATATACAGCTACGCGTTCGTTTGACACGCGTATACCTATACTTTAACGAAGGAAAGAAAGAAAAAAAAATGTTTTCCCGTTAAACGTCAAGCTAAGAAGTTAATGCACGATTTTTCAACGTGGCACACGCGAAAGAAAAGATTTCGCGAAAAATTCTTAAAAGCCATCTGTCGCATTCCCGTTTCGCCAAAGTATTTCCAAGGCCGAGTTTAGACCCCGCAAACCATTATGGCAATTTCTCCGGGGATGGTTACTTACAGTGTTGGCTTAAACAACATACTTAACCAGGCTACTTAGTACTCGGGCGGGGAGGGAGGATCGGCAGGGAGGCAGACGTACCCCTTGCAATAATAACATTTCACCCCTTAATCCGGTGACGCTGTTAGTGCTTAGCTAAGTATCTGTCCCTACCATTGCTGAAATCAAAACAGGGTCGACGATACAGTTTCGCATTAATGTATAAAGATATTTCTATTTTTTTCTCTCTTTTACATTTCTTTTTTGACAAATTTACTATATTTTTTATGGGGTCGTTATTCAATATTTATTATTAAAATTCAGGGGGGTCGCTTATTGCGAAAACGTAAAAGGGTGTTTGGTATAGTACTTGACGATTTTGTTGTGCTTCGTGGGTATGGCAAATGGGGTAGAACGTATTAGTACCATATGGGGTGGGGATAAGATAATGTACAGTAGACAGGGCATTGGTTCCTATATAGGTAGCATGGTGTTAGAAGATACGTACCTCCCCAATGGCACAACATAAACCCTATAGTGCTAAGCGGCTTAGTAGCCGGCAAGGGCAGTGACGCCTGACATATCCACATACGACCAAAGCCCTGGCAACATCCCTGTATGTATATATACTAGTACGTACCGTACCGAATGTAGCGGTTCGCAGGAAATACAAAATGTGGGCGTGCACTTAGTCCGGTACAGAATGGGGTTTGTCGCGAAGGGATGAATTCTATGGAAAACTATATGAGTATGTATAATTTTCGAAATTTCGTATTAAAACGTGAAAATGAAAACCTGAAATTTTTTTTTGGGCAAAATTTTTTAGACCCCTCTGTCATTATTTTTTTACGTACTTTTTGTCACGACCGATACGTAACACGAGTATCCGTAATGCAATTATTCATAGGAGGTCAAAGTTTGCTTATGGGAACCGATTGAAATCTCTTAAAGAATCAAGAAGGTTTCGGTAGTGATTTGTAGATCGTTCAGTTTCCCATGGACGAATAACAACCCCAGCAATGAGACAGGGGGGGCTACAACCACACCCCCATTGAAATCCCATGCACGGGGATATACTTAAGTTAAACGTACGCCAGTGTCACATTATGAAATTCAATACCAAGTTATATCTAACCTTTGATTAACCTCGTGTGAACCCATGCCAGTGATCCACTGTAAAGGCTGATTTTCAAAATTAAAATTATCCGGGCGTTTTATTATGGGTTAGCGTTTCGCGTTACGGTATACATATAAACGTCCCATAATTATCCCATATACATTGAGCGGTAAGTGGGGAGAAAGTGACGTAATCGAGATGTTTACAGATTTGAGCTTCACAGGAAAACCAATTTTTGTGGAACTGTTTTTGTCCTTTTTTTTCGCCATACATAACCACCGAGCTTACTTAAATTTGTCGCACCCTTAAGCACCCAAAAACCCATGATCCCTCAGTACGGCCGGAAGAGGGAGAAGTGGTCGGAGTAGGGGATGAAAAAAAAAAGTTGTCAATGGTGAACTTCTTACCACGACAATGGGTAAAAGCGATTTTAAAAAGATCCTTCCAAGATTTAACATCAGTTTCACACCTCCCGGTGGCTCCCCACTGATGCTAAGATCTACAACAAATACCTGGCCTTGCCATAATCTTACTACGGCCTCCCATAAAAGGGGCCCTGCGGGACCCATTATGATTTCGCGGCATTGTCGGGGTGTCGAATCTGTCTACAAATAACCACTAGAGACATAGTTACTCCATCGCTGCTATTCTCTTTTTCCTTTTCTCTTCTTCTCTCTTTCTCTCCCTCTCTTATCGTATTCGAACACTCTCGCACCCAGTCTCTCCCTCCTGGCCGCTCTCATTCCGGGTTTGTGCCATTCAGAGTGGACTACATTATTTTGTTGTAAGGCCCCGGCCACCGCATTATCCTAAACATCTAAATCCGGACAGCTGGGGTTCCCCGGGGGTTCTCAAACGGGACGAGCTATCGAAAACGATAGCTTTTCCATTTAATGAAGTCTAAATATATCATTAGGTTATTATTAATTTACTTTTAAAGTCATTTAAATATATTCGAAAGCGAATTATTCATACAATTTTATAAATATAATAAAAATATATTTTTACGCGTTATCCGGGATTATAATACATTAAATAATTAAATTATAACACTGTGTATATCTTCTATAGTGAACCATACGTAAGTCCCACTGCACGGCACTAGGATTATATATTATTATTAATAAAATAGAAACAATCATAAAAATTTTAATGGTCAATAAGCAAAAATTAAAAAAAATGTACCAAGTGTGATCAAACTATTGCGTCATGCAAGAGACGTCCCTTGCATTTACATATACCCGAAATGCAAATCTATCTCAAAAGTCCAAAGAGCAAAGGGACATTGGGAAAAACATAAGGGGAGGAAACAGCTAGTGGCGAAGTAATAAATTTGAAGCTCGTTTAAAGTGAGAACCACTTTCTAATGAATGTGCCGGAGGTGTCAGAGCAGCAACTGTCAAAACACGACCAGGTCGAGACAGAGAACATGCCGTTGGTAGGTATAGAGACAGACAGTGGAGAAAGGAAGAGGGAAAAACAGAAAATGAAAGAAAGGTAGCACTGGTCTACCACAGACGGGAAGAAACTATATATATATATATCTAGAACTATCCTTTTCACGCCATATTGGTTATCCCCATGAATGCCACAAGGATCGATGCTTATCATTAATCGCGATATCCATCCGTTTTCCATGTACCAAGTACATAGCCTGGTACACGTATACATATATAATACATGAAGCCCTTTTCGCCATTCCTAATGAAATCCTCGAGCGAAACAGCTCCTGCAAAGAAGGGTCTGTAATTTGCACAGCGTCCCGACGTGCCCCAGTGAGTGTCAAATGCTGGGAAAAAGTTCTTACGAGTCACGTCCGTCACGTTCATTGGTACCTACGAAAGGAAGCCATTCGTACGTTTACTATCTCTGTTTCTATAATCTATATATATATATATATATATGTATATATATATTGTAACGTATTTTCCTAACTTGACACCGACAACGAAAATCCGAGATCCAACCTACGTCATTTTCGGCCGTCCACCCTTAGTCCATGCATCCGCATGCCAGGCGGGCGCCAGTCAGTTCCTATTCCACCGGGAACTGACGAGCCGGTATGACCTGGGAGTTGAGCTGGAACAGCCTCAACTCCGTCAAAATGAGAACTCTGACGGAATCTATCAGAAGAGACGATAGCTTAACGGATCCTGTTGACGCGTAAAATCGAGAAACGTAACTGGATGCACCAACGGGAGTGGACGGTTAAGGAAATGCACGGCTGCTCTGGCTGCTAGATTGAGGTAGAGAGAGTCGGGAGGAAGCGTCAGGTAAATAGTGCGGGATACGGTGATCAATGGATCGAGAACGTAACAGAACGAACTGGAACTATAAAACCGAAATCCCTTCACAAATTAATAAAACTGGAGTCCTCGCCGGAGCTGGTGCAGCTAGTACGTGAAGGCCGAGAACTATATCCAGAGGACACTCAGGCGGGCACTGCATCGGGGAGCTCAACTCAACAATACGAAATATTTCCGAGAGCAGTGCCGTAACTGTACGAATGAACCCAAAAGGGATGCTTCTTATCAGGGTGGAGTCTCGAAGGGAATCAGAAAGCGAAAACGTTATCTAAATCGGTAGCTGAAGTCGCCTTGTGACCGTGAGTCGAAAAATATACATATATATATATATATATATATATATATATATATATATATCATATGGTTCTCCCATGACTGTTATCTCCGATCGCCCCGATCGAAACGTCCAGTCTGTTAAAAGCGACACTCGAATTTCGAAGAGGGGTTGACATTCCCCATTGGTATTCCCTACAGTACGGAACCACTAATCAATTTGATCGTAGGGTAGCCGTACGTACATAGACGGCGTCGATTAAAAATAATCGAAGAATACGTGAAAACCGGTTGATTATTTGTTACTATTGTTTTTAGATTCTTTTTAAATACTTTTTTCCAAATATCCTTTTTCGTTCTTCAGCGACTGCTATCTCCCAATCAAATGCTGCAAGGGATGCGGAACGCTCATTCCACAGGGTGGAGTCTTGCTTGATGGCGCTTTAAGCGTGCGCGGTGAGTGTCAGCTTTTCATGAGAGCTTCGGTCGATGCCCGGTTAACCTATGGGATCGGTTACAGCCAGGCTGTAAGCTGATTGGTCGATTTTGTCAGCGACACCCGCCCACGCCAGTGTTGTCCTGCAATGAATCACTGCCGTGACTCTCCCACTGGTTTCACTGAATTTTTCCATTTTAACCCGATTTAGGATTTTTTTTCTTCTCATAGTAAAATCTACTACAGTTTGGATAATTTTTTAGTACTTCTTGGGGGTTTTATGGATTTCGTAGCAGTGGATGGTTAAGGGATAAATTTAGATTTGGGGATGACAGCACTGAAACCACGTGGGTAAGTTCATAATAATTTGATAATATATTTTCGCGTGAATGTATTTACAGGCGCAAATAATGTTTATATATATATAATTTCATGTAGTTAATCGTTACGCAGATGTACCTATACGTCTTACAGCATTTATGTATATATTTATATATATTCATATGTATAGGATTGATTATACAAGAATTTTACTAATTATGTCTATCTACAATGAAGGGAGTCGAATCACACTTTCTCTCCTTTCCTTCACACTTTCTCTCTTGCGTGTTTTCGTAATTCGTATATGGTTGCGGTTTTGATAACCGGCGCGCTTCGTTTCATTAATTCCTCTTTTTATCCTCTTTTCTCTTTTACTCCCAGAGTAAGACTCTCGAAACCGACGATAATCAAAATGCTTTTGTAAATCGCTAGTTCTACTTAGATTACGGGCGTAATTAACATGATCGGCCCTGCGCGACGATTCGATTCACCGGCCAGTTACATTTTTTATATATCTTTTTTTTTCACTTCCGCCATCATCGTATTCGCTCTATTTATTTATCTCGATATCGCAATTATTGAATGTACGTGTTTGTGTGTAGGTGTATGCTGTATCCAAAATTTCGAATGAATCACAGAATGACTTAATAAAAACTTTTTTTAATTTTCCAAGTATTCATCGCTTTCGATTTAAGAGAGCGAAGTCATGAACTTGTAAAACAAAAATTGTTAACTCTTTTGATAGTCTTCGATGGAGATAACGTTGCCTAGCAAAGAATATTAACAATTTTGCACATGGATTCGGAAATTTAAAAAATACAGAAAAAAACATCCACTGCCTCCTACTGTCTTGCCGTAGGCATTTGCGTAAAATACATTCTTGCGAATCCATGGTACTGTTAAAAGAAAGATCTATTTGTTCCTATGCTTCATTTCTTTTTTTTTCTTTCAATTCTTTTCCATTTCAGCTATTTTGCCAAAGAACGCCGGAGTACGAGTATAACTCTGCTCAATATCTACAGTGTGCGTTTTTCCGATGTGCTCTATTAAGGTACTCCCTTTTCTCTCTCTCCTTCCAATCCCAGTATTTCATCTCCCTTACGTCGACGCAAAACGTTCGATCGATCGATGCGTTGTGTCGGGCATATTCGCTTACGTAAACTCGGCCGAAGTTTATTTAATTTTATTTCTTTTTCATTCCCATCGTTTGACTCTCAAGAGTGGCCGTAACCAATACGACTAATCCGCGTGGAAATAGGTTCTCAAACGATTTAACATTAAAGTATTAATAAAAGTGCGAATGACGTCCCACGTGACGAAGACTAGTTTAACATAATGTATACGAGGGGAGTTCAGAATTGATCTGCATCGTTGCTTTCCAGAAATCAATAAGGATATACACAATATTATTTTGACTGTATAGACTATCGGATTCTTTGAAATAAAATTAAGATCAAGTTTGTACCCTCTTCGTACACGTAACCCCGGGAATAATTGATCAGGGAATAATTTTTCGATTCAATTTCATTCTCATACTTTCCCTTACGCTCCCGCGAGTAATTGCTCGTCGTGTGTTACTGAGATGGAAGGAGAGTCCTCTCGTAATCGAGGAATTATAACGGATCGAAAAAAAAAGAAGAAAAAACAACGTTTCACATAGCGAAAAACAAAAGGTCGATTCTTTGAGAATTCAATGATTGACGTGTCACATAGCCGCTGTAATCGCGCTTTCGCAATGTTACATTAAACGTATTATGTACAATTATGCGCTAGAACCCGTGAGGAATGAATGTAAAAGCGCGAGCTCACAACACCTTAAAACATTCGGTGCCACAAAGAGGAATAGTCTGTTGCTCTTCGCTCTTCAGTGAAGCACTCTTCTCGTCGCAATCGTCGAATTCGGTTCTGTATCACGCGGGCGAGAACGGCCTGTGGATCTGAGGTGGTTTTGGATTGGGCGGCGGCGTCGCGACTCGTATTAACCCCTGGCCTTGAGAATGGCCTTGAGGAGTCTGCTGAGTAGAGGGTGGACTACCCCTAGAGGAGGGCGTGTGTGGACTCGGGACGGCAACCCTTAGCGGACCCGTCACCGACAGATTGGTCGCCACCAAGGGCGGACTGTGGGCTTCCGACAGACTGTCGGACAGACGTGATATCCCGCCGTCAGAAAGTCGAGAGCCTTCCGACAACCTGGACATTCCTTCTGGTAGCTGATGCTGCGGATGGGGATGATGCAGAAGACCCTCGTGGGGATGAAGCCTGGGTGGTGGTAATCCTAGAGGATCTGGTAATCTGTAGGAGAGAAAAATAATATAATAAAGAACATAATCAACCCTTGAATTCTTTCATACGTATATGTATATAGTATGATCAGTATATGTATATAGTATACTCAGGCTGATCAAACCTAACCTAAATCTTATTACCTATGGATCATAATTTAATTTCTATTATACAGATGCTGATCTTCCGTACTAACCTCGAACCAAGATCACCCCTGGGTCCCACAGCCTGGAAAGGACTGGTCTCGGTAAGTCTGAAGATTCCACCACTGGCAATGTTCGGATGATTATGCTGAGGACTGTGTGGACCAAATCGAAATCCCGCAGGTGGGAACTTGAAGGCGGTAGCGTGTCCAAACCGGAACTGCGATTGCGTTGGATCGAACCGGAAGTTCAGCGAGGGTGGTGGTAACGACCCAAGTGATCCTAAGGGAACTGGTGAGGGTTGATGGGTCGGCGGTGGTGAGGAGCTCGGTGATGGTGGTGACGTACCGCCAAGTGATATATCAGAATCTTCAGAATCACTACCACCGGGTCCAGGACTCAGAGCTCTTCTGCCACTGCCATTGCCAGGTCCAGATTGCTGTTGCATTCTAAAACAAGAATAAAAAGATATATATAAAAAATATGGTATGATTTTTTTTTTTTAATTCACTGAAACCTTTCATCCAAATCTCACTTATTTTTTCACACAGCCAAACTAACCGGGTACCCACAATTAGGCCTGAACTCTACGAGAATGCTAATTCCTTGGGGCGTAACGAAGCAGACACACCGTACATGCTTTCGCGAACCGGCGCTTCCAGTAATTACCGCTTACCCGTTACAAGCAAGCTCAGGACTCTGGGTTCCGCATGTGGCAGACAAAGGGTCGCGCATTTCGCGTCTCCACGTCAGCTACCAGAGTGCGATCGTTCTTGACGATGAGTCTGGGCATAAGGAGAACGCGAGGGACTCCTGTCATTATAAGAACTGATTCTCTACACTGATATAAAAACCGGTAGCTTCTCACGTGGTGCGATTTACCTAAAAAATGATGAATGGTATCCAACGGTAGCTTATCAGCTTTTTAGCATCTTGAGAAATGAACGGATTCGACAGCGGAAGGTGAACGAGCCACGTCAAATCACTGACAGCACAAGACAATGGAGAAGCATTGTTAAGCAGTGCCTGCAGTATACATTTGGGAAAGTACCATGGGTGGTTGTAGTACTTATCGGCACAGTGAGAGACACTTAAGGTCTGATAACAATAAAATCAAATACATTATCAGTGAATTGTTCTATTATTTTTTTCTTTCCTTTCTTCCTCAAATAAAGCAAAAATGTTTGCCTCGGGCTGAGACAATGAATTTCTTACGTCTTTGGCATCGTCTATATATCCTCTCTCTCTCTCTCTCTCTCTCTCTCTCTCTCTCTCTCTCTCTCTCTCTCTCTCTCTCTCTACCGTGCTTCTTAAAAGCCTCGACACAGATCGATGTGTAACCCGCAAGCGTCGAGACGCCGAGCGTCGCGCGCGAGGTTCACCCGTATTTTCGTTGCTAATTGAGTACCGAGTCCGTTACCAGGGCAACCGCGTGTGATCTCGAACAGGTTTGTCGGGTCGACACCGCACCGGCGCGCAGAGCGGCAGCTGTCAATCTATTTTTACGCAAAAAGGAGGTAAGAGAAAAGAGAGTGGATAAAAAAAGGGAGAAAGAAAAAAGAAATTAGAAGTGGAAGACCCAAGAGACGTAATATGGTGGCTGAGGCCGAGGACCGCGAAGAAATATAATGCGGTACGAATGGCTTTCGGGTGGTGCGAGCTATTTTGCGGCGTGGCTTCTCGAACGAGGCGAAACCGTAATCGAACTCGTCCAGGACACTCGACGCGTTTTAATTATCCTTACGGCTACCTTTTGTACGTACACGGTGCGCATTCCTTTTTCGCGAATATACACCGCAGTGCATTAAATCGCTATCGTCGTTGCAGTCTGTTCAGTGGATATAATAAGAAAGGGTTTGCTCGGGGAGAAAAAAAAAACATCCTATTTTCGTTGCCCAAGTAAATTCGCATTTCTTTTTATCTACGCACGTTGTCGTCTGCCTTTATTTTTCTTTATTATTTTTTTGCCCTCCGCGACTCAACCGCTGCTCCATTTGTCTCCTGCACATTGCGACGTGGAACGCGCCTGACCGTTGTTTGTAAGAGATCTGCAGGTGCTGCGTCGTTGAGGTAATTAAAAAAAAATCATCAGCGGCAAGAGTGTATCAGGTGCAAAGGAGAACTTGATGAGGATGCACCAGCCATATATTTATGGCCGATGACGAGACACTTTTGTATATTCGCTACAGTACAATACCAGAAGGGAACCAAACGGAGCACTTCCTGATACGGTGCAAAATTTTTGAAAAATTATCAAAAAAATATCAAATAAGAAATTCCTCGCGTCGCTCCGCTATCTGAATGTACAATTTTGAAATAGGTCGCGTGGAAGTATTTTTTTGCGAATCTACCCAGTCGATCTATAGATACGAAATTGATCTCTCTACGGGCCTGACGCCACGGAAGGATATCATTTTAACAAAATCTGCCCCGTGTCACGGGACACCGTAGAATGGTACACCCACCCTCGTCCCATGAGTTTCATACCGAACACCACCATCACTGTCGTCGTCATCATCATCATCATCCAGTTCTCCTTTTTGGGCCCTTTCCCCGTGCCATGCTAAATACCCAGGGCACAATGGGGTGGTATATCGTTCGAAAATCTGAGCCTTCCAAGGCCCCACAAAAGGTAACTGGATACGGGCGAAGCAGCATGTGAACAGGGCGCGATTTGAAGAACGGGGCGGTTTTTCTTTCTTTCTTTTTTTTCACTAGTTCGTTTTTAATAGCCGCTAATAGAGACGTTAAAACGATACGACCCCTCGCGACTCAACGATGCTCAATTCTCCTTTTTTTTTTCATCCCTCCCCAATTTCGTCTCAGCCCTTCGCCACCCCGTCCCCATGGGGGACCGAATTCGCATTTTTCTCAGCGTCGCTTTCGATGCCCACCCTTATGCATTTGTACGCATTGAATATTTCCAACCATAGAGTCCTCGCCAGCCAAAGAGCCATCCAAGCTCATCGGCAGTGTACCTTCTATACACTCTTATACGTATTAATTTGCAACATTTTTTTAATTTCCATTTCTTCCCTACCTCTCTCTCAGTCGCACAGCAGTTTATTACACGGGTCGCCCCGATGCATTAGGGATAGCGTTTAAAACAAAGTGGGCCCTCGACACTCCGCGTAGAGTGCATTAAAGAAAACACCAACGTCCGCAGGGCCGCGTTAGCTGCGAACGACCGAACCGACGGACAGACAGGTAGCCCATGATTTGCAACATTTTATCCAGTCTCGCATCGTGTTCTTTAAAGCTGGTGCAACATGGCGGCGTCGGGGTTGTTTCGTGCCGGTTGACAGCCGATCTTCAAATGCGGAGTAGTCAGTCTGTTAAGAGGGAGCAAATGTTTGCCCAAAGAACAAAAGGTATCGGCTGGCCTCGTATTCACTTGTTTTTGGGATACGTGAATTTCGATATGTTTGAAGATTTTAAGTGCTCCGTTCCGTTCGCCCGCGAAAGAAAACCGATCCCTACGGTATACATACGGCTAATACATAGATACACGTATATACAGCCGTAGAAATCAATATATGGAGAACATACAAAAAAACCAGCCGGTGCAGAATTTTTGAAAAAAAAAAAAAAATAGCAATTTTTGTTTTCTCTCAAATGTAAAACCAATCAGTTATATAAATCTCGTAGGTATACATACGGGAGGCTGCACAGAGACGAGAGTAAGGGATCGCGTTTGTGACGAGGGACAAACATTTTTCTACAAGAACTAGACGTTTCGAGTGTTTGTCCAGGGTCCCCTTGAATGCACCACCAAATACCTACTAGTCCTTCGTGGGAAAAATCTTGAAAATTAAATCCTTCCTGAGCTGCGGGAACAACCTCGTCCAGCTAATCCCGTTGTCTCAAGCAATCCCACCGTTCGAGAATTACCAGCGCCCCGAAGAAGATAATGACCAGAGTGGAGAGGACCAACTAGGTATTGTCCCAGGTCGTGCTGGTAGAAAGCGAAACATGTCCAAGAGTTCCTTCCGTTTCCATAGCAACAAAAGCAACACGAAACAAACTCTCGGCACTTTTGCATCGAAGCGAAATAAACGGAGGATAATTAGATTCCGCATCACTCATGCCCGATCGGCCCAGCCATAAGCGTCACGACGCTTGCGGGTCCCTTTCGAAAAATTGGCATGTACCGAAAATTCAAAAATTGACAGGCTAATGAACCGAAAATTTTTTTCTGTACCTTGTGTATCCCATCAACCCCCCCCCCCCCCCCCCCCCCCCCAAAAAAAAAAATTG